GCACTATTAGAATAAAACACTCTTCCCTTGGTCACCAAATTTCTTTGATGATTGCTAAGATGAATTCCTGACATGCTGTCATTTCCTGTTTGTTTATACATGAAGGATACTTTCTGATCTACAATTATAGTCCCTCTTTGTTCAGTCTGCTCAAATTTTGCTTTGCTTTATTTTAATAGCATCAAGCACAAGGGTACAGTACTAAAAATTGATTTAATGTTGAGTTCCCAAAGCACACACAGTAGTTCTACGAAGTCCGATCTATTAGAAACGAGATTCATCTGAAAATCAGGAATAGAGTAGATATGAAAATAGGGTTCAAATATTGTCATGTATGAGGACAGGAGGAACTTGAGATCATGGAATAAGAAAATTTGAGACCAATTTTGTCATATGAACAAGAGTGTGAATGAGAGTATGAGAGTATGAATGAGATGAAGCAAACAGCTAAACATGGCAGTTCAGAATTGTTCGAGAGGCCTTTCATTGCAAAGCAGACGCAGGTCCAGTATCCACAAAAAAGAGATGTGAGTGTATGAGAATCACCAACTGAATTTGAGAAAGAAGACAGAGTTGCTGGAATTAGGTATTAACTTGATTAGAAAAATGCAAAATGTTTAAAACAAAAAGATTTATTTCATAGCAGTATCAATGAATTGTTAGTAATCACGAGAAAAGGATAAACGACATTCTGAGATACCCTATGCCTACAGGATGAACTGGTAAATTTTGAAAGAAATGGCCAATATTCTGAAGTCTATTTTTACCAAATAATTTATTGACTTTGAAATTTATTTATTCCATGAGGAAGAAATCCAAAGAGAGAAAAGGAGAGAAAGAGATAAGGTACCCCTGACTAGGTCCTGATGCTGCAGTCCACCCCCATCTTCTGCCAGCCTGGCTCATGGCCACGGTGCTTCATATTGTACTTAGGGAAGACTTTGGATGAGTAGTAACTTTCCCATAAGGACTAGCCTCAAGTGTTGTGTTTTGTCCCTGCACCACTGTTGGGCCATATTTTTTTCACCAAATTTTAAGCTGGTCTTGGGTTTACTATTTTAAAAATAAACATCCTTAACATATTATTCTTAAAATGTCCCTAAATTTATGATAAGTGCTTGTTTTGCCACCAATTATGTTTTGTTACTTTTCAAATCCTCTGATATTATATTCTTTCAGCTAATTCTATTTAAAACACAATTTAAGGGGCCAGCAGGTGGTGTGGTGGTTAAGGGTGCTGGACTCCCACATGGACGACTATGGTTCAAGTCTTGGGCCTGGTGGCTTGCTTTCTCACTTTTTCTCTGTCTCTTCCCCTTTCTCTGTCCCTCTCTGGTCAAATTGAAATAAGAAAATAAATAAAGTTAAACAAAATAATTTTTTAAAAACCCACAATTTAAATATTTGCTTTTAGAAAAAATTTTGAAAATCTGATTAAAGGATCGAGTAGTCGCTGAACTCCCATGTAGTAGAATGCAGTTCTCATCCTGGATCCGGTGGCTTAAACCTCACGCCAGGCAAGTGTGTGTGCATGCCCAAGATCCCGAGAGGAGAATGGAGGAGAAGGGATTGAGGCGTAGCAATCTCCCCTGGGGTCTGATTTCTCATTTGCTGTCTCTCTTTCTGGTGAGCACATGCACCCTATAGCAAAAACCTCTCCAAAAAAAAAAAAAATCTGATTAAAATTGCTCAAAAGATTTTTTAATATATAAAGTATTACAACACAACTATTTAGTGACTTAAGCAAAAATGAATTTTACATACACAAATTTAATTTTCTTAAAACGTATGTGGATAAAATACTTTCAAATTATTTGAATATGTTTGGCATACTGAAAACACAGCTGTGTTCACTCTATTAAACTTTAAGAATCTTAAAAGATTCCTCAGTTACTAAATTATGTCTAAATATTGAAGACACTGCTGTGTAGCTTTCAATTTATTTTCTGTGTTTAAAAAAGGTTTACTTTAAAGAAAAGTTTAGGACCAGTTGCTGTCAGTGAACTCATAATTCACCTGTCATGACTGTGTCAATTGGCTTTGTTTGAAGGGGACTGAGTACAGGATAAAAGCAGAAAAAAAGAAATATCTTGTTAGAACAGCTCTTATGCTGACTGTTTTGAGAGATTAAAATACATTTCCAAAAACTAAGCACAACATTAAAGATATGTAACCAGCTTCATGACTACTTTTGATGTTTTGGGACTTAAACAAAAATGCTGTTCATTTCTTTGAGAAAAATGCCCTCTGAGTCATTCCTCAGTGTTAACTCCAAAATCTCAACATTGTAGAAAACATAAAATCCTGTCAGTAAACTGAAACTGTGATAAATAAACACTAGTTAGCAAAAACACATGGTATACTATGCATTTATAAACGTTAAAAACACACATTAAAATGATGACTTCCTTAATATAATGTTATATAACTAACATGCCTCATAAAGGATACTTTTGTACAGTTTGTAAAATTAAACTCTGATCATACGTCTTCAATGTGTTGGATATTCTATTTCAACAGAAAAAATTTTGAAAGAATTAAAAGGGATGTTTCTCTTATAGCTTCAAGAAAATTTGGTTTCAAATTGGTTATCACATAGAAATAAAATTACTGTATTAAAAATAGAAGTGTTGGGAAATATGTCACAAGAATCGAATACAAGAACAGAAAATTCTGAGAGTAGGGACCTCGTATTGCTTCTGTCAATAACCTGTCCTCAGCCAGTATGGTATGAAATGCCTTTCTTCTTGTCACAGTCATAAGCATTCCCAGTGGAGATGTCACTTTGACTGCTTTGATATTTTTGAATTTAATGTTTTACTATCATCAATAAAGGGAAGGAGCTTCTGTAAAGAGTACTACAATGAAGTTCAGTCAAATTTTACTCAACTGGATTTGTTCCCTTTAATTTCTTTGGAATGTTATCTAATGCTTAACGCATTCAAAAGAACATGTATAACATTCATGCAGAGTTAAAACAAAATAAAATGAACATTCTCTAACCCATATGTTGAAGAAAGTCTAAAATATTATCTATTGCTTTAACATTACCTGTATATTACCCCTTGATCATATCCGGACTCCTCATGACAAGGGAAGATCCGAAATTTTATGTTTATTATTACTTCTGTCATTTATGGGATAAATTTACTCCATATGTGTGTATTCATGGAAAAATTTCATTTGTTTGCTTGTTTTTACATTCTATAAAGAGTGTCACAGACCTAGAGATAGAATTTTTCATCAAAACTTCTATTTTTAGAATTTCTTAATGAGAATTTCATATGGTTTCAGATAGTTCACATTTCCTGCCATGTAATATTCATTCCACAGTGAACATGTCATGATTCACTTCATTCATTTTTATTAGTCACTAACAGAACAAAGCAAGATGAGTAAGCCTGAAGAACATTATGTTAAGTGAAATAAACTAGACGCAGACAGAGAAATACCACCTATTCTTACACATGAGGAAACTGAAAAAAGAAATGACTTCTTAGAAATAGAGAATTGAGGGACCAGCAGATGGTGTAATGGTTACTTTGCTGGACTCTCATATGGTTTACCACAGTTCTAGTCCTGGACCTGGTGACTTAAAACTCATACTGGGTGCGCGTACATGTGTGCCCAAGATTCTGAGAGAGAATGGAAGAGAAGGGATTGTGGCATGGCCATTCTCCCTGGGGGTAGGGGGTGATTTCTCACTTTCTGTCTCTCTTATCTCTGTCTCTCTGGCAAGTACATACACCCTATAGGAAAAATCTCTCTTAAAAAAAAAAGAAAAAGAGAATTGAATGACTTCTAGAGACTGGGAAGTATATGAGGAGAGGGATTAATGATGTTGATTAATTGAACAAAATTACACATAGACAAGAGGAATGGTTTGTTTTGTTATAAAATACTATAGAGTGAACATAGTTAACAACAGTTTACTATATATTCAGAATAACCAAAAGAGAGGATTTTGACTGTTCTTAACACAAAGTAAGGAGAAATGGTTGAGATGATGGATACATCAATCACCCTTATTTAATCATTACACATTATATTCTTATACTGAAAAATTACATTGTACCCCACAAATATATATTATTATTATATGTCAGTTAAAACATCTTTTATACTCTACAATAGGCAAAACTTATTTTGAGATTGATTGTAGATTAAAATAAAAAAGCTAAAATCATAACTTGTGAGACAAAAACATAGCAACACCTGACTAGGAATGAATTATGGCATAATTAATTATCTAGGCCATTTGGTTGGGTAATATTTCTTTTACTAGCTAATATAAATACTATGATATTTGCTCTTAATTAACCTGTTTTTAATCCATGTCTCATGATGCATAAAAAAACTCAATGGACTCCCTAAATTTTCTATTTTAACAAACTACTTTGTATATATGTTCTATTCATAGTATTTTTAGAACATTTTTCTTTATGGACTCATTTATATTATTTGCTGATCATAAGAATAACTCTTTAACACAGAGAACTTAAGGCTAAAGAATAATTGTCTCTTTATTCTCCATCAACAAGTATGTACTGGGCTATTATGAACACAGGTATTGTTTAACAACATGAATATTAGGCTTTATTTTTAAAATCAATTTTAAATGCTAACCACAATTTTGAAGATACAGACATATTAAAAGTGTTTCTTAATGTAGTTGAAGAGAAAAAGCCTTTGCAAATTTTATAGGCCAATGTTATTTCTCTGTTCTTTTTCTTAATAAGTGATTTATTTGTTTGGCTATTTATGTACATTATATGTTCAACATAATATTCAATTTGACTTTCCTTTAGGAAGAATTCTGTGTGTGTGTGTGTGTGTGTGTGTGTGTGTGTGTGTGCATGAATATGTTTGTGCATGTCTATGGCACAACCCATATCTCAATAGTAAAGTTTGGAAAAACTCATAACCTATCAATTATTCTTGGTACAAGTTATCCCTTTCCTCTGCCTTAAAACAGACATTCTATTGATTTTGTTTCCTAGTTCAATTTTGTGGGGAAATTGCTTGGACCAAGAGGAAACTCCTTGAAGAGGCTACAGGAAGAAACAGGTGCTAAAATGTCTATCCTGGGCAAAGGATCAATGAGAGATAAAGCAAAGGTACTGAACTTTGAATTTGGTATTTAACACATGCAGGAGGTTACCTGTAACACTGATGGCCACATTTCATAACAAACCTGAAATGTTCTATTCCCTATCATTTTCACGTTATGGGACCATCCTGTTGCACTTTCCAGTGTTTTCTCTACTGTCATAAAAATCCATTTTTAGCCCTCAGTCCTTGGGACCAGCAGTTAGCGTAATGGCTATGTTGCTGGACTCCCACGTAGTTGACCGCGGTTCACATCCCAGACCCGGTGACTTAAAACTCATGCCGGGTGCATGTGCGTGTGTGCCCAAGATCCCGAGAGGAGAATGGAGGGTGAAGGGATTACAGCATGGCCATCCCCCCTGGGGAGGTGATCTCTCACTTTCTGTCTCTCTGTCTCGCTTCGTCAGGCGAGCGCATGCACCCTATAGTGAAAACCTCTTAAAAAAAAAATCCATTTTTAGCCCTCAGTTCTTTTCAGAACATATTTTCTGTATTTTTATTCTCTATAGCCTTTTGTGCAGGTTTGGTATCAAATCTTTTTACTTTTTTTGGCAGCCTCTGTAGGATGTTTTTGTATACCCATGTTCATTTTCTTTAATTCCCTAGCTGGATCCCTTTTCTTTCTTCAATCATATCACCTAATCACATCCATTGTCCCATTCTCTCATTTTATCTCTCTGCTCCATTTCACTTTGATCTTCTTACCTGAAGCAATTTCAAATACTTATCTGCAAATCTAAGAGAATCCTCCTTATGTCTTGAAATGTTTCAGTGATATTAAACAACTCCTCTGACCCCCCAGAAGAACAATAAGCTAAGGAAGACAAGTTTGATGTTTGAAATGATTTATTTCTCATCTGATTTACATCATTTCTCATTTTATAAAATGATGGCAATTTTCTGAGTATTAGAATTGAATGTTTGAGAGAAAGAACTATTTATAGTGATTTATTCATAGGATTTGTGAAAATTCATTGGGAAACAGTAGATGTGTATAGTAGCATTTTGACCAGGCCATATTTTATGATTTTATATGTTATGTTACTGTGAAAAAATGAAATGTTCAAACATTTATTTCTGATGGTAGGAATACTTAGAAAATTTCTCAGGCATTCTGCCTTCAAACCACTAATGAAATCTCTTAAATTAAGGAATTATCGTGAGAAATGTTAATGAACTGATGAATATATCATGCAGATAATATGTTAACTTTATTGCAATAAATCTGTATTTAGAATTTGAGCAAGACACTCTATGAGCTTTTTAAAGAATTATTCAACAATCAAATGGAGAAAATTATAAAAGGGATCATTCTTACCAGACTTTCCTGTTGAATGACTGTTTTTTTACTCTTTACTGTGCATAATTTAGAAATGTCTACATTCTTGCCAGTCTTCCTGCTTCTAGTTTATCTAATTACACATAAAAGAAATATTACAAGTATTTAACAGGTAATAGCACCAGTACCTACTCATGAGATAAGCTTTCGACTTCTGCCCTCAGTCAATTTAGAGTTTCTTTATATATGAGGAGAACTTGATGTATGATAATCTATGCCTGTACTTTCATATATTTTTTAATAATATTTTTGTTATATTGTCTTCAAATATCTCGTAGTCTTACAGTATAAGCTGTTTTATACTCATCTTTGGTTGTTGGAAAAGTCATGATGTATTTTTTATGTTTTTCTGTGCAAAAATGTGTCACTACTTTTCAGACAGCATAATACATTCTTTCAGATTTAGGTCAGGTGCCATCTCCCTAGTATAATTTCCCTGAACTCGTATAATAAGCTAAGTCTGCTTCAGTCACTTTAACGTATTTTTCTGAATTATCCATTTATCTCATCAAATTGTAAATCTTTCACAGGCTGAGAAATGTCCTAGTCAGCTTCGTTTACTCAGAACCCCCATCTAGTCTTGTCCTATCTTTAAGACAGATGTGTATATATTTTCTTCTCTATTTGGACATTTTCTCCTGTTCATAAAGTTTTAAACTGGGTTTCTTTTTTTCTTTTTTCTTTTTCTATAAGCATATTAGGTACCAGCATTAAGTACTTGAAAATCCAATAGGAAATAGATTTGCTTCTTATACAGAAATTTCCACTAGGCTTTTAACTTTCTGTTATTACCTGTTGCTTGAAATCCTATTTCTCATTCCTTTTTTGGTTGATCCCTCATGTTTGGCTGTGCTTTGAATGTTTCCATTGTTATTTACAAAATTAAGTAAAATAAAAATATTTAATAATAGTAACATACATCATAAAATAGATTTTTCTAGAATCTACATAAAGCCTTACATTTCCAGGGAAATTGAACATACATGGGCCTGTTCTGTAGCTTAATTGTTAAGAAGCCAGATCCCACATGGTTTGACTAAGTTTGGAATCCTGATCCTTATGAGATCTCACATGGCTGACTTTGTGGTTCAAATCTCAGACCTGGTGACTTGAAAAACAGACTGAGATGAGACCAGCAGATGGCTTAATGGTTATGTCATGGACTCCCACATAGTCAAACACAGTTTGAGTCCTGGGCCCAGCAGTTTAAAATCCAGGTTGAGCATGCGTGTGGGCTTGCCCAAAATCCTAAGAGGAGAATGGAGGAGAAGGGATTGCAGTGCAGCCATCCCCGTGTTACAACTTCTCACTTCCTGTCTCTCTGTCTCTTTCTGTATCTATCTGTATCTTTCTGTATCTAGAGTGGACGCACCCACCCTATTGCAAAAATCTCTCTCTAAAAAGAAAGAGAAAAAAGGAAAACACACTGAGCATGTGTGTTTGTGTGCTCCAAATCCTGATGGGATGGAGAAATGGAGAATGGATTGTGTTTTGACTGTGCCCATGGGGAGTAATTTCTCAACTCCCTGCTCACTCTCTCTTTCGTAAGCAGGCATATGTATCCTTTGGAAAATTTTTTAAGAAGAGAGAGAGGAGATGCTGAGGAAGTTTATTGGTTTTCTTTTTCACTTGTGTCTGTGTGAAGATTACTTACAAGGAATCTAGAGTTGATTTAAGGTATATGGGAGATTAGAACCAGCAGATGGCGTAATGACTACATCACTGGACTCCCATGTAGTTGACTGCGGTTCACATCCTGGACCCAGGGGCTTAAATTCATGCTGGGCACATGTATGTGCATGCCCAAGATCCCGAGAAGAGAATGGAGGAGAAAGGATTGCAGCGTGGCCATCTCTTCTGGGGGATGGTTTCTCTCTTCCTGTCTCTCTGTCTTTCTGGCGAGTGCATGTGCGGTATAGTAAAAACCTCTCCAAAAAAAAAGTATATGGGAGATTATGTGTAGATTATATGCCAATACTGTGCTATGACAGTTTATATGAAGGAATTAAGTGTACATAAATCTGCTATTTGCAGAGGGTTATAGAACCAGTCCTTCATGGGTACTGCGAGATGACTGTGTCTGTACAACCACACACAAAGGTGATATATCTATGCATTAAGGACATATTTGTTGAACACACTGGGTGTCAAGCATGGTTCCTATTTACGTTAACAAATATGACAAGGATTTTCCCTTTTTGCAATTGATATTCCAGTGGGAGAGATAGACAGCAAATAAGTGAATATGTTGTATGAATCATTAATAATTGTTATTAAGGATTAAAATAAAACAGGAAAAAGCAAAAGATATTAATGGTTGTAGGAACAATATTCCAATTTAGTGATCAAGTAGAACAGTAGATAGTGAGAATGAACCCACCATAGAAAGATCAGAAGCAAAAAATATGACTGTAGCTATATCTTCGTTTAATAATTGTGCTTATTCCCTTTTGACCACCTCCTCATTTCTTAGCTCAACTTTATAGCAAAACTCACTGAAAAGTTATTTAAAATAATGTTTTCTTTTCTCCATTTTTACTGTACTCCTTAGTCCCAGTGACTGGATAATCTTATTTTCTAGAGTTTGGAATCAAGGGCTTAGTCTTCAGACTTATTTCTTCCCTTCATGATCTCATGTCATTTAGACTTCTGAACCCAAAACTTTTATTTACTTATTTATTTATCTGAGAGGGTTTATGTTATGGGAAGTACGTGCTTGTCAGAGAAACAGAGAGAGATAAAGAGGCATAAAGTGAGATATCACCCCCCTAGGGAGATGGCCACGCCACAATTCCTTCTCCTCTATTCTTCTCCGCTTGTGATTTTGGGCACACACGCACATACCTGGTGTGAGTTTTAAGCCGCCAAGTCTAGGACTCAAACTGCAGTTGATTACATGGGAGTCCAGTGACATATCCATCATGCCATCTGCTGGTCCCCTGAACCTAAAATTTTAAGTGTAGCCCCCAATCTCTCAAGTTCTAGATTCTAGATGTATATATTTACCTATTCAATATGTTAATGTAGATACCTAATAAGCATTAACAAATATGTTCAAAAGCATGCACATAAATACAAGTATGTAAATACGCTGACGAAACCCATCCCTTTTCCCAAACTTTAGTCAGGTTTCTCTGAGCTTTTTATTTAACCTGGCCTTACAGTCTTTTTTTTTTTTTTTGGAGAAGTTTTCACTATAGGGTGCGTGCTCTCGCCAGACAGACAGAGAGAGACATAGAGACAGAAAGCGAGAAATCACCCCCCAGGGGGGATGGTCACGCCGCAATCCCTTCTCCTCCATTCTCCTCTCGGGATCTTGGGCACGCACGCACACGCGCCTGGCGTGAGTTTTAAGCCACCGGGTCTGGGACACGAACCGCGGTCGACTACGTGGGAGTCCAGCGACATAGTCATTACACTAACTGCTGGTTCCCAGTCTAAAGATTAGCTGTGTTTATTTGAAATTTATATCAGCATGCACTAAGAAGATCATCCTGCAACTGAAAATTTGTTTTTCACATTTTATTCAAAAATAAAATAATAAATGACTCAAGCATTACACGTTGCTCTTTTGTACTTACAGACAGGCATGGGTCAGTGGTCTTCTGTGTGGAGTTTCAGACAAAATATCGTTTAATAAACTATTTTGCTTCACCTTTGTAGGAAATG